CCCAAGATAACTAAGGGTGCAAATATGGAAGCTGATTTAAAAAGCAGTCCTATTAAAAAAAAAAAAAGTTCCCTTCTGAGTATGAGAGATTAATTTCCTATATATTGTGGCAGGCAGTTAAATTACACTGTTATAGTTTTGTTTATATTTGCTCAGAGACACGTATATAGTTTTGGAGTATTTGTAAGTGCAAGTCATTCGTTTACGATTTTCTCTCTCCAGAGGGAAAAGGTAAAAAAAAAAAAAAGAAAGAAAGAAAGAAAGAAAAAAATATTAACTCACTCCTCAAACCAAAATAATCCGACTGATTTACAGGAAGAATAAACGTTTTTTCCTAAGGTTTGTGTGAGAACAGAAACTTATTTCCTCTTAACTTTGTAATTCCATAAAAGAAAATATTAAGTACAGGAAACTTAGACCACGAGGAATCAAAAAGTGTTTTATGGATATATGCACCCTGATGTTTACTGCAGCATAAACCCAACAGCGAAATTATGGAAGCAGCCCACGTGTAATTCAACTGATGAACGGATAAAGAAGACGTGGTACATATATACTTTGGAATATTATCCAGCCATAAAAAAGAACCTTGCCATTTCCAACAACATGGACGGATCTAGAGGGTATAATGCTAAGGGAAATCAGTCAGTCACAGAAACACAAATACTGTATGATTTTACTCACATGTGGAATTTAAGAGACAAATGAACAAAGAAAACAAGGGAAAGACAAAAACCAGACTCTTAAATATAGAAAACTGATGGTTACCAGAGGGGAGTGTGGGAGGGTGAAATATGTGAAGGTAATTAAAAATACAATGAGCCCTGAGTAATGTATAGAACTGCTGAATCACTATAGTGTACACCTGAAACTAATATAACACTGTATGTTAACTATACTGGAATTAAAATTCTAAAAAAGGAACACTGAGGAAAAAAAAGTATAGAATATCTTTGGTAATCAACAAATTTCAGCTGCATCAAAATTATGACAAGGTCTCTCTAATCCCAGAGGAACGTTTGTGACCTTTTATGTGACAAATACACAGACAGAATACGTAGGATTCAACTTCTGTTAAAAAGAATTTACATCTCTAAAATATAGAGCCACACACACACCCCACTTGTACACACCAAACACATAAGGGGTCACCCCAGGGAAGCACGAGGGAGGCTTTCACTCTTTATTTTAAGCTCTTCTGAACCATTAATTTGTTACAGGCACATATTCCAGTTATTATTTTAAGAAATTGAATAGGGGTGTTAGGCATTATGGTGCTACAAAAAAGAATGCTCTTTTGCCTGTGAAAAAGGGATGCCCTCGGGGTGCCCGGGTGCCTCAGTCGGTTAAGCTTCCAACCTTTTTTTTTTTAAAGTACACTCTATGCCTAGACCTGAGCTGAGATCAAGAGTCAGAGGCTTAACTGACTGAGCCACCCAGGCGCCCTAAGCGTGGAGACTATTTAAAAAAAAATTTTTTTTTAATAAGACATGCTCTTATATCTCCAACCTAGAAAAATTGAGAAGCCTCTGGATTGGGCACAAATACACATAGTTCAATTTAGGCTTTGTTTGTAGCTTTTATACAGACTCTGAATGACTCAGAACTGAACATTTATTCTACTTATTTTGTGCTTTCCATTTTTTACCGATATCTTTCCTTATCTTGATAAAACTGTTAGTTGGGGAGGCTTAGTAATTGAGGGGAAAAGGTGACAGCCAGAATTATGAAGATAAAGATTTGGATTAAAAACAAGAGACCATTTGTGCAATTTTTGTGTGGCAGTTTGTTCTGCATCTCCATTTCCATTTCTGGAAGTAGCAAAAACAGGGACAGCAATGACAGCCGGCATTTACTGAGCATCTATGCTTCGGGCTGCAGACTACTACAAATGCTTTACTCACACTGACTCATTAGACGTGCCCTTCGACCCCAGGAAGGAACAAAGACAACTTGTCCTAGGGGCACAGAAGGAATCTGAACCCAGAATGTCTGGCTTCAGAGCCCAAACCTAGCTTTTTAAAATCAAGTACCGGGTTCCTGTAAGTGATCGTTTATATGCTCTTTTGGGGACGTCAAACTCCAATTCCACATCGTTTCGGTTGGGGGACAAAATGTCTATGCTGTTCATGCCTTTTGGTACAGAAATGTATTCTAGACTGGGCGTGAACAACAGTCTATGTTGTTTGGAGCCCGCAGTAAGCCCCAGTGCATTTGGACACACCTTCACCCTTCACAGCGTCCAAGCGTTGAAAATCTCAACCATATCAAGCTGCTTTGGTTTTCAGTCCATATAGCAAACACCAAGTAACGAAAAGTTTAATGCTCTGCCCTCACCTAACTCCTTCTGCATTAGGACGTTAGAATACAAATGTGATGCGAATTACAGAAATACTTTAAAATTGTTCTCTGAGAGGGAGCTGCTTCGGGACCACATAAGCGCTATTAAAAATATTTACACTGGGTGTCTGGGTGGCTCAGTTGGTTAAGCGACTGCCTTCGGCTCAGGTCATGATCCTGGAGTCCCGGGATCGAGTCCCACGCCGGGGGGGGGGGGTCCCTGCTCAGCAGGGAGTCTGCTTCTCCCTCTGACCCTCTTCCCTCTCGTGCTCTCTTATTTCTCAAATAAATAAATAAAATCTTTAAAAAAATATTTATACTTCTGGGGCTCCTGGGTGGCTCAGTCAGTTAAGCGTCTGCCTTCAGCTCAGGTCATGATCCCAGGGTCCTGGGATTGAGTCCAGCATCGGGCTCCCTGCTCAGCGGGGGTCTGCTTCTCCCTCTGCCCCTCACTCCACTCATGCTCTGAAACTCTCTCTCTCTCAAATAAATAAAATCTTTTAAAAAATATTTATACTTCTGCTCAAATGCTGTAGGTCTTCTACATCTCAGATGATTAATTTAGGTGTTCATTTGCCAGGTCAGATCTAAACAGTGATGTCTGGAATGTCGGTGTGGCTGGAAACGGACCACACAAAGCACTGTTACACAGCCAGACAAAACCTCCCTGTTCCTGATGCTCAGGGTGTCAGGCAGATGACCGCAATGGTACAGCGACATATTTTTGGCAGGAATGTGAAACAGAAACCCCAGTTTGGGGAGGAGGGAGGAAGCTGGCAGGAAAATGTTCGTATAATGGATGACCCACTGTACCATCTGTGTCTGGGGATATTTAAGAGTTTTATTTTGACTTCACATCTGACCTCATGATTTTTAAAAAGAAGTGGAAGCAGACATACGATGAGTTACTTAAGACTTTGCTTCAGTCCACATGTCATTTTTATCCTATTTACTCTAAAATGACCCCTCTGGGGGCGCCTGGGTGGCTCAGTCGTTGGGCGTCTGCCTTCGGCTCAGGTCATGATCCCAGGGTCCTGGGGTTGAGCCCCACATCGGGCTCCCTCTCCCACTCCCCCTGCTTGTGTTCCTGTTCTCGCTATGTCTCCGTCAAATAAATAGATAAAATATTTTTAAAAAATAATAAAATGACCCCTCTGTACACTTACTAGACTTGATTCTAAAAGGCACAAACCCCACCCTTTGGCTGTCATTGTCATGTTCGTGTGTTCTTCTACAATAAACTATCTGTTCCACAGCACGCTTACTAAAAACTAATACGAATTCAGGTTTGGAAGTGGAAACTTGGGAAGACAGAAAAATATTCAGTTTCAGTCTATTTTAACCATCACCCTTTTGACTACAAAAAAACAAAGAATTTAAAATTTTGGGCAATGGTTTACTCACGTTCAGTCCACACTGCACATTTTCACATCCAATTAAATTCAGTGTGCACTCATCAAATCATGTGAAGCATTTACATTCATTTTACCTGAAGCATTTGGTTAGAGTGGAGGGTGTGTTTTTGGTAGCTTCCCCAACCTCAACTATAGTTTAGCTTGTCAACAAAAGAAGCCACATGGGACGCACTATAGCGACATCACCAGTGACAACAAAGGTCTGTCCTGAGCTCACTGTGAGCCAGTGGTGAGCACAATGACCACCTTATAGGATGGGTGCCCTTCGAATCCCCATTTTACAAATGAAGTGTAAAGAAGGATGACTTTCTCTCTCTAGGTCATGATGGTTCGAGCGAGCGGGAGAGCCAGGAACAAAGCCCCGTCCTAGAAGGACATGATGACTGCTTAGAGACACGTGAAAGGGAAGTCATGTTAATGAGGCTTGCAGGGAAATATTACATGTCATAAAGTCTTCCAGGGTAATTTCTCAATTATTTTCCGTTTTTAAGAAAAGCGGGGGTGAGCAGGAATCCCAATGAGTAAAGGATGAGAAAGAACACCTTAAGCACCTGTCAAAATGAACTGTGGGAAAGGCTCCCTTCTCTGGCTCCAGGGGCCCTTATCAGAGAGGCCTTTCTGGACCACCCCATCTCCAATCGCCCCCACCCCGACCATCACCGCTCACTCTCCCTATAACTGGAGTTCTTTCCCCCATGGCACGAGTCACCTCCTGACATACTGTGCCCTCAACTGGAGTGTAAGCACCGTGAGGACAGAAGCCTATACCTACGCTTGGAAAAGGGCAGGAATAGAATCGTTATTTACTGAATTGATAGGTGAACTCCCTCCATCAAAGTTTTAATGAAGAACATTTCATGCCAGTATGTTTTACTGAGCATGTACTGGTAACTAGGGTTACAGACACTGTGGGACTTTTGCAGGCTGTCCTGTATAAAATGAGCAAGTACATATCTAGAAGACATGGCAGCAAACCAACAGCCCCAGAAGACAGCCACCAGGCCAGTCAACCCAAGCTTGCTTTTCTGCTCCCATCAGCCCAAGGCCAGTGAAACCACCAGACAACGGGAATCAGCAGAGCCCCTTATGAGTTTTGATTCTTGGAGTTCATTCTACCCATGATCATTCTAAAGCTTCCTCCAGGGTTTCAAAAAATGGTTCTAGCAGGTGAAAACAATCCATACCTTCTGCAAGTACACGATCCCCATCCGTCCTCACCCCCAGGTCCCTCGGAATGCCACATACCTGTAACTTTACCCCAGCTCATTTTGGGGAAGTCAGGGTTCCTCAGCTCCTCCGTGCTTGCAGACTTCATGACAGAGGTGATTGAGGACAGGGTGCTAATGAGCTGCGAGTTCAGAGAGCCAATCTGTGAGTGTGGCTCCCCAAAAGCTTCTGCCAGTTCACTGTAGTTCTCAGCTAGCAGAGTCTGCTGCTCTGCCAGTAACTTCTGGATGCGCTCGATGTAGTGGTCCAAGCCGGTCATCATGCCAGGCGCCTGGGGCTGGGGGCTCTCCGTGGACTCTCCAATGGGCTCGTCCCCAACACCCACGCTCCTCCTGCCGGCTGCCAGCCCCGAAGTCAGCTGGGGAGGACCACAAGCTATGGTCCTCATTTTGAGACCAACCAGATAGTTGTCGTGAATATTTATCTGCCCCACGCCTGACTCTTTGGTCTTCACAGCCGAAGGCCTGTCAAAGCCAGAACCGCCAGACAGCACCGTTCCCACGCCAACGGACCGCATCTTGGCGGAGGAGTTGACATCCTTCACACGGCCTTCCCCGACCGCCACTGTCCGCATCTCCACAGCCTGGGTGCTGGTCTGCTTGTCCAAAGTGCTGAGGGAGGTGCTGGTGCTGGAGTCCACAAGGGTGGCCGTCTCGGTGTTGGTGGACTGGTCCGCCTGTTCCCAAGCCGTACTGGTGTGCCGGCTGGTGGTCGGAGGCACCGCCATGGCAGCGGCCTCGACCTGGCCAACAGCCTCTGTGTTCACGCTCCGCGACGTGCACTCCTTCGGAGGGCAGACGGTCACGTCAACAGAACAATCCCCGCAGCCGATCGATCGCACTTCTTTGAGATTCAGGTTGGTCTTGAGGAGCGAGAGGTCATTCACAGACTCCTCCGTGTTGCTGCCTGTTTCGCAGATACTGATTTCCACACCCACACTCTTGTCACACGTCTCCACAGACCTCCCAGCACACTGGTCACGCATCTCCACCCGTTCCTTGACAATCCACCGATTCAGGGGCAGCTCAGGCCCCGCGGCTCGACTCTCACACCCGGGCTGGCAGGAGACCGCCACGCTGCGCGTGCACACGGAGGTCCCGACGCCCATGTCGGCCACGTCCACGTGGTGGCCCGCCATCTGGTCTCTCGTGGGCACCACAGCCTCCACCATCTTGCTGCAGACAGGCGGCTGGGCCGTCACGGCTTTGTCCACCTTCTTCCTCGACCCAGCGGCCTGCAGTTCTTGCTTGAGCTTGGTCATCTCGCGGTCATGCGTGGTTTCCTTCAGTTGAACTTCCAGGCGGTAGATCTTTTCCTTCAGGGCTTCTATGGTCTGCTGCTGCAGCTCGATTTCTTTGTCAGCTTCTGTCGTCAGTCCCAGCATGGCCTCCGTCACGCCGACCCCAGAGCTCCTCGTCTCAGTGACGGTCCCCACAGCGGCGTCCCTACAGGCCCCCGGGCCCCTGCGGTACACGACCACGTGGTCCATGTTCTCGTCGGCACCCACAGCCACGGACCGTGGGCACGCCCCATTCTCCCGGAGCTCTGAGGAGGCCTCGCCGCTGCTGTCCTGGATCTTCTGCTCCAGGGCCCGCATGTCCGCTGCGAGCTGCCGGAACTCCCGGATGCTCTGCGTGCTCTGCTCTACGCTCCTCATCTCCTCCTCCTCATAGTCGATGTATAATTCCCCGCCGCCTCGCCGGGCCCTGGAGAGCTCTTCCAGCTGGGATGCATTCCCAGCGCTGTAGGACCGCTTCCTCACGCCCCCGATGTCGTTCTGGGCTGTGGCTCTCTGGTTTTTCAGCTGCGAGGCCAACTGTCTTTTCTCCTCTTGCAAGACCGAGATCTTTACCTGGAGCACGGGGATGGTTCGCACCTGCTCCTCGAGCTCCTTGAGGCGTTTCAGGGCGATAGCCATCTGCTCGCGGATGTGCTGCAGGTGCATGGGGCTCACGTTGGTCACTGGAGTGGAGATCCCGGAGCTCAGGGGGCTGTGGCGCATGGAGCTCCCCATGGACGAAGTGGTGGCAGGAGCCGGGACATAGCCACTGTAATCCCCGTTGCCTTGGTACCCGTTCTGAAGTGGGTGCATGGCGGGATTGTGGTTTCCAGAACCCATAAAGGAGGAGAGCGAGCTCGTGGAGCCCATGCCTCCAAAACTGGCCAGCCTGGGCCGTCGGAACTCACCCGGTGCCACCTGCATGGCGACTCTCTCCTGTTCCAATCTTCTCCGGGTCTCCATCAGCGTCTTGGTGACATGAAGGTTGTGCTTCAGGAGCTGTGGTGACGGTGGTGGCAGCTGTCGGCTCTCCGGGATGGTAAGAAAAATGGGCGAGGCCTCCAGAGGGGCAGGGGGCCTTGGGATTGGCGTCGATGTCACTTGGCTTCTGGTGAGGAGGAAGTGGGGGCACTGCTTGTTGTCATCACTGTTGGAGGAGGAGAGGGATTCCGTGGAAGTCCATACACCTTGCTGGCCGGGCACCGCCCTGCCGTCTGGGCACGGCACCGATGGCTTCCGCCTCTTCTGGATGTTCAGTTTCTTGATGGTGTTTCCTTTCTGGATGTCATCCACGTACTTGAGGAAGTCTAAGTCTAGCTGATAACCGTAGGGGGTCTCCACAAAATAAGGATCTTTCTGTTCCTTGTCATGATCTCCATTCAGAACACCCTCTGCTTTTCCTAGGAGAGCGAGAAGACAATATGATAAAGCTATGGAATACACTGGGTGATAAAAAAAAAAATAGCATTTGTGTATGGTGCAGTGTGGTCAACTAGTATGATTTAAGAGTTGACAGCCTTCTTTCTGTTCTAATCCTGGATCTACAACTTAACAGCTGGGTGAGTAAGTTAATAAACCCCTTGGAACTTCAGTTTCTCCCTGAGTAAAAATGGAAATACACATATTTACCTCGTAAGGCTGTTATAAGAATGTAATGAGACAGTGGTTTTTAAAGAGCCAAGCATGTATTAAGTCCTCACTAAATATTTTTGAGAAAAGAATGTATTGAAAAAACTTGAACGCATTTCGAGGAGATCATTTCTTTTGTGGTCTCGAGTCCACTGAAGTCTACAGAAGAGTCCTTAAGACTCCTATTTTATAAAGTGAACGCTGAGGCACCAAAAATGAAAAATGAAAAGGCAGAATAATGGACCTAATCAGGAGAGATGCAGGAAGCCCGGGATGGGAGTTCTTACAGCAGTCACTCTTCTGCAGACTTTGCAGCCTTTCTAAACGGCAGCCAAGGGCACCCTGGTGCCTGACCACCCTCCTTAAGATCCCAATTTGCCTTGACCCCTTCCTTGCTGACAGAGTCAGGACCCAGGGGCCGATGAGGGAGGAATTTTAGCAGCATGGGTAGGAACACAGTTGGAGAACAGACTTCAACTCTATTTTGTGTCTTCCATTTAAAACCACCACCACCACCACCAAAAGCCTGCCCCAACTAGAGGAAACGTTTTTCTCCTCTTTGACTTCTTTTGGACAAAACATTCCATATCCTAAGAATACCCCGTGTTGTATTTTAACATATCCAAACAGATGCAAAAGAGAATGAAAATAAAAGCAAACCTATACTCCAAGCCCTGGATCCTGTGGCATTCAGTAAAGGCTACTTCTGGCTAAACCAAACATTTAGAAAAGGAAACGCAAGAACTTTTTCAAGGCACAGACCTTGCTGCTGACCTGAGCTGTGCATTTCAAATTGAAAAGCAAGGCCGTTTTTGTTTGTTTAAATTGTAGGATTAAGTAATGTGTTTTCCTAAAGTCATAATAACAAGCTCTGCATTTTTTGAGCTATGGAAAGTACCCAAAAGTAATGAGTGAAAATGCAAGCCATTTGTACCCCTACTCCTGTCCAGGGTATAAAAACCCACCCGACTGTTGTCAAGTACTTCCAGCAATGTGGGTTGCCTGCCTGCCCTTCCCAGTCCAAACCCTCCTGAGCATTTACACCTCATAGGGTGAATGCTCTGAGTAAACCTTCCGTGTCCAATTTGCCCTCTTTCCTCTGAAATGTTGGAAAGAAAAGTACAGAAAGACTGCCAAGCAGCAGAGTTGTGTATTCTCCGTGCCCTGATTTAAAACAATATTAAACTGTTCTCGCTGTTGGAAATGAGGCACCAGATTTCATTTCTAAGACATGGCAAGAGAAGTCTACTTGAAAGAAGTGCTCAACCTTAATCACTTGCTCACCCATGTAAGGGTGAGCTGATGATGAGCCGGCACCAGGAAGCTTGTGCTCATGCTAACAGAACTGCGTCTTTCCTTCCCTCTTTCTTTCCTTTTTAACTCCACATGGACAACACGCTCACCCAAAATATGCAGCCGGACCTGTTTCCAGCGCTGTCTGAAATTCCACAAGCAAAGAGAAGCTGCCCGCTCGGGCGTCAAGCAAAAGCGGGCAGATCTGACGGACAGGAACCGCCGATTCTTAAAATTGGGCTGTGGCTCCTCCAGGCCACAGGGGGCTCAGCCCTGGGACCAGGCCCCCGCCCCCCCCCCCCCCCCCCCGCCTTGCGCTCCGCTGCCTACCGGCCGCTCACCCCCCTCCCAGGCGCCCGCTGCGCTCCCCACTGGCCTGATCGCCCGCAGGCCGCGCACCCTCCTCCTGGGGGGGGGGGCGGTGGGCGCCCGCTGGGCTCTGCTCCCTGCCGGCAGCTCATCCCCCCTCTCCGGCGCCCGCTGCGCTCCGCTCCCCGCCGGCAGCTCACCGCCATCCCGGGGGCCCCGAGGGCTCCCCACCGGCCTGATCGCCACCAGCCGACCACCCGGTGCCTTCCCGGCCCGCCGGCCTGCTCCCTGCTCCGCGCCCGCTGCACCCCCACCCCCGGGGCGCCCGCCCGGCTGCCCCGCTCACCAGCTGGCTCGCACTGCGTCCCGGCGCTGCCTCGGACGCCCTCCGTCGGTCTTCACCCGGTAAGGAAAGGAGGTTCAACATTCGTGCACACTTCGCCGGGCCACGCGCGAACACCATAGGCCCAGGTCGCACCAATGAAGTCTCCCTCCGGCTCCGGCGACACCACCCCCAGCCCACTCAGCCGCTCGGCACTGCCTGCTTTCTTAATGAAAACAGGAACCCGGGATCGCGTGAAAAATGTGTGTCCTTCAGGCCAGCGTGGCCGGGCGATTCAAACACCTCCACACACAGGCTGTGCGTCCGCGGTACCAGCCACTTCCGAGGGAGAGTCTGTGTGCTCCTGCCGACGCCACGCAGCCGCGGCCCCGGTCACCTGAGGACGATCCACGCACAAGAGGCGCCACTCTCCCCAGCAGGTTCTCCAAGCGCACGGCAGTCCTGGCTGGTCAGGGGCCCTGCGGGAACTCTTCTCAGCCCTTGGCTCCTCACCAGCGACAAGCACTCATCCCTTAACCCTAGTATGAATCTCAACTGAGCTTTTGCCCTTGATGAAAAGTTCTTTAAAAAACCCCACCGTTTTCCAGTTACAAAAGCAGTCCATGCTTATGTTAAAAAAAAAAAAAAAATCACCTCCAGGCCATTTAAAGAATAAAAAAAGTCACTCGGCTCTCACCACTTAGGGGCACTATTAATATTTTGGTATAACTCCAGAATTTTTCTGTGTATTTCTTAACAGAGTTATTTTACCCATTTTCAGTAGAAAAGGTTAATGTTTATCTATTTCTCTTCAACGTGTTTTTTTTTTAAACACACTGATTTGATGTCAGGATTTAGAATGCAACAAAGCATATCACATTTTTTTTAAGATTTTATTTATTTATTTGACAGAGAGATAGAGAGCGAGCACAAGCAGGGGTGCGGCAGGCAGAGGGATGGGGAGAAGCAGGATCCTCGCAGAGCAGGGAGCCCGACATGGGGCTCGATCCCAGGACCCCGGGATCATGACCTGAGCCGAAGGCAGACACTTAACCGACTGAGCCACCCAGGCGCCCCAAAGCACATCACATTTTTCAGTGAAACTTAACCGGCCGGCCCATCTTTAGTTATTTCTGAAGTACACAAAAGGCAAAGGTCATGCTGAATAATCCCCCAAATGAACGCTGGACTTCTAAATCTGGGACTCAGGAAAGGTTAGAATTTAGCCATGTTAGGCTTGATGATTTCCTAATACTGCTTAAATCAGACTATCCTAAGAAGCTGTCATCCAAATTTCATCCCCCAGCGCCTAAAAAAGCAACCTGTGTTTCTCAAGGTGTCATTTTTACAATCAACTGTCCACTGTATGTTCTACAACTAAATAAAGACACCCAGTGTCATTTTTTTACCTCCTGCTTTCTGGTGTACCTTCACATACAGTAACACAAATATGGCATTTATAAGGCCCTGATTGATTTCCCAGCTTCTCCAAATGTGTAGGTTTTCTCTCGGTGCTTAAGTATCTTAAGAGCAACAAATTTAATTTTTAAAATTTCCTTCACTACTCCCCCTTCCCAGTCACACACATCATTTAATAAGATGTGTGGAACTATGTAGATGTTTAAACATGTTTCCCGAAGGAATAACTGAACATACAGTAGTATATAATGAATTTTTAAGAACATCTTAATACTCTGTAGGCAGAAGTTGCTTGCTCTGTATTAGTGTTAAAGACAATTCTTACCAGAAGCTGTTTCAGTGGTTATCTTTAGATTGTAGAATCACGGATGGTTTTTATGTTGTTCCTTATATCTTATACATTTTTACAACACATAGCTACTTATCTCATAAAAAATATTTACAAGATTATAAGAAGTTACTGGGACACAAGAGAAAATGTATTGAAATAAACTCCAAGAAAGTTCTTTTAGGAGGGGGATGAACGGGGCAGCCATGGCAAAGACAGCCAGATGTTCCTCAGTATGTGTTATCCCATCTTTGAAACTAACAGGACTCCTGGTTTAGTTGGGCACATATAAAGACTACATTTCCCTGGCCTCTTTTACTGTTAGTATGGCCATATGCAGAAACGTCATAAAGCAACCCCCCAGAACCTCCCTTTGAAGACACATGAATAGTTCTCTGGCCTCCTTTCTTCTTTGTCATTTCCTCCATCCTGCTGCCTGGAATGCAGATGTGATGACTGGAACACTAGCTGCTTTTTTGGACTGTGAGTTCACACATAGGGATGGAAGAACGATGTGCTAGAAAAATCCTGGGTCTCTAAGAGCTCTGCAGATCAGAGCTATCATACTGCACCTGGAAAGCCACCTCTATATGTCTAAGTAAAAGAAAGATAAACTTCTCTTTTGTTAAGCTATTTTCCGTGTTGGGTCTCTGTTACTTGGATCTATGCTGAATTCTAATGGATACAGCAGTCACTCCCCTGTGTCTCCCCTCCCCGACAAAAAATTAAGACCAGATCTTGAAAGGAAGAAAAATGTTAAATGATTAACTGGGGAAATGTTACAGTAAAACTTTTTTATACAGAAATTTTTATTAACTCAAGAATGATCAGGAAAGAATAAAAACAACAGTTTTTTTTAAAAAATCTCTGAGTTATAGAGAATCTTAACTGCCTGAACCCCTTTTTTTTTTTTTTTGGATTAACAGGGTTATGCCTATTTATATATAGCCAAAAACCACTGGCTATGTCTGCAAATGGAATCCTGAAAGTAACAGCTTCCAACTAAATATTCTGGAATCAGAGGGCTGTCCCCTGGGGTTTACAAGAATTTTCTAAATGTCTGGAAATCCAGTGGTGGAGACTGCTCCTGGCACCACCTC